CATTTTCCTCTTAATTTCTCCAATCTCCGCCACTATCATCGCATATAAATTGCACTTGATTAGACTTGCGACTAATTACCAGCAGCACAGCAGTCAATCTAATTTTAACTACTGCTGCTCAAATGAATAGCCTTTTTCCTCCTTCTCTGTTCCCCTGTATTTGTAATTAGCATTTTAAAGAGGCAACACTTACAACATGAATATACACACACAAACAGATAAACAGCATCTGTCGCCAATTTGTCAATCACTACTGGTAATTATTGCTCATCCTCTCAACACTGTTTTGTACCGTACTGGCTGGCACTGCCGACTTTTGCTGCTGCAGGTAATCGAAGCTACCGTTTGCGTTAAATATTTTTTTCTAATGCTATCTTAATTGCCAGCGTTTTTGAGCGCAATGGTAAGCTTGTTGTTTCAGTCAAAGATTCACTCTCAACACTCTCAAGCAGTGTTTGCTTTATCCGTTTTATGGTCAAGTAGTAGTGATTTTATTTTCCCTTTTTTCTCACTACTAACATGGCCAATTAGTGTGCTCAAATTGTGGTGGTCGATTCGTTTCAGTGACACCACCACCACCACAGTGATCATCAAATGATGCCTATTATGCATTGAAAGCGCACAACAATGGCCATCAGTGCCAATAAGTGCCCAAGACAATTCGACCAGAGGCACTCAGAGCATGTTCGACCAGTAAGTCGATGATTTACTGGCCCACTAGGCGCAGTATTGATTTCATGTGGAGCATTCTTCAGTTTGGCAATACTTTCTCACGGACACTTCTTCAAATGAACTCTACCAACACTAGAACTACTGCAACACTGACAGCAGTGCTTCAACTTTTATGCTTCTCAAAGTCGCCTGCTCATCTGCTCACCTTTTGCCTGCTAAACGGCCGTATATTATTATCGCTTTATTGGCTCATAAAGCAGATCACTGATGAAGCGAAACGCAGAGCCCAAAAGGAAAGCTCTCCTTTTTCTTCGCCCTTTGCTGAATTGCACTGTTTGCGGCGCTTCTGACTTTTTGGTGGTGGTTGTGATGGTTTCCGTCTTTGATGGTAATTTTTTGGTTTTGTCGGGGTCAATTGGCTAGCGCGCTAATTGAGAGCACAATTTAACATTTTTAACGCGTTTTCTTTCTCCCAAAAGGTCAAAGGTAACTAATTACTGACTAAAAGTTGGCTTCCACTCCAATAGGGACCATGAGAAAGTTGTGAATGCACAGTGAGCTCGGTAAAGTGAAAAACAAATCTAGCCAGCAACCGTCTCTCCACTGACCACTGACCTTCGCCAGTGCCTATCTGATAACGGTAAAAATAGTGACATTTCAATTAGTAAGTAGCAATCTCTCTCTCTCTTTCTAGACATGGCAGTCTGTCTGACCAGCGTCTGACTGTGCTGTGTCCAGTAGTCGATAAGAACAGAAAGTGCCCAGAGGTATAAGCAAGAAAGAAGAAAACAAGAAAGCATTTCTCTGTAAGTTTTGGCCGCACACATCGCTACAGAAAAAACTTGTCCCCCTGCTGCCGTTGTAAGCTGTTATAAAAGCAAACACGCATAACCACAACTACAACTTTTCCACTTGCCACTTTGGCAGTGATTTGTACCGCACAACTTTTTTCCTGTCCATTGTGTCACTTGTGTGCTTCCATTTTGTCGCAGCAAGTGTAAATGTGTCGCACAATGCAACATTTAAAAGGTGCCAAAAGAAAAAATTCTTGGCTTGCGATTTCCACCTGAATGTGTGCGCTTGTGAAGCAGTGTGCGTGTGTGGCGAACAGTGATCGACTGTTCGCCAAAAAAGGCTAATCAAACAAGGAAGAAGCTGGTAGTAGTGGTGATTGTAGTGCTTCATAGGAAGCAATCATCGACAGTGGTCAATGGAGAAAAAAGAAGAAAAATGTCAAAAAGCTGGTAAGGGTGGACAGCTCAATCGACTGGCAGAAGGAAAACTAATGACATCAGGTGAGACAATAACGGAGCTGGTAGGTAAATACAAAGAAGAAGTATAGCCAATTTGTTACGCATGCCATTGGGCCGGTGTCAGTGGTTGTGACCAGGGTAACAGACAGACTCACAAGCACTACTGCTGACACACGAGCCTTTGACCTCTCTCTCTCTCTCCCTCTCTCCCTCTCCCTATCCTTCTCCCTTTGACTCTTGCTGTGTTTGATGTCACTACTTTGTAGCCTAGGCAATGGGCACCACCACCACCACCACCACCGTCGATACGCTTGTCACCAAGGTGGCCACGTTTGCAGCACCGATAATCATCGACAACTGAAAGAACGACGACAATGAAGCCTGTTTGGTGAGAAGGAGAGCAGTGCTGCTGCTGCTGAGCCTACCTGCTGCTGATGAAGGAGCAGGGGCTATGCGGGGGCCAAATGAGCTACTAGTTGCCTACTGCCTGCTAACACATCATCGATCGATAATCGACCTAATGACAGCACGCAAACAGACAATGGAGGACAGGGACACTGAAGAAGGGGAGGAGAGCCCTACTGACTGACGGGCGAAGTGTGTCAGCTCGAATCTGCATGCGCAATGCATGCGTCTTCATTAGTGCCCACGCACACTCACCAGTTGACTTAGTTTGGGCCCCTCTGTGATGACTGAAATATGAGGTCAACTGCTGTGCCCAAGTAAGCCACCATTGGACACCACTTGGTGATTCCACTGTGCAATCTAATTTGCCCATTCACGGTGTCAAGGTTAAGTTACCTTGAGTCGATGACAGACATCACCTGTGGCGTGACAAAACTGTACTTTTTAAATGAAGAAGAAGAAGAAGCAGTTTGTTGGGGATCTATCAGCACTCTATCTATCAATTCTCGCCGTCCCTGACACTCTCTGCACCCAACACGTTCTGTCCAGTACTCTCTCAATCACTTTNCTCTCTCTCACTCTCTCTCTCTCTCTCTCTCTCTCTCTCTCTCTCTCTCTCTCTCTCTACTTACCAATCGTCCAGCTTCATTATTGTGCAGGTTCATGATGAATCGCTGGTCGCGTCCCTTTTCAGAGGCGTCCAAAAACTGCTTTGCGTACTTGTAGCCAAACTTGATATTATCCGAGCAGCCACCCCAAAGCCAGTCAGCATCGCCGTGTTTCTGATCCTTCTGCGGTGTGTTGTCACAGGTGCACGTCTCTATTATACCTGATTTTATATAAAACAACAAAAAGTGCATTCAACTTGATTAATGAAAGTAGTGGCTAGTGAAGTCGTAGTAGTGGCAATAGTTCAACAGTCTGAAGCATTGTTTGCCTACTCTATTTTAGAGTGCTATCAACACGCCTGTGAATGCGCTGCTTCACTGAGCATCTATTTGTGTTTGGTTGATGCAGCAGATCTATTTACGGCAACAGCTTTGCTTACCTTCACTACAAGCTCGAGCAATAGAGTGAGCAACAGCGGCAGAGTTCAACGCGTAAACGAATGCCGTTTCTCGACAACCTGTTGGTGAAAAAGATGTGTTTTTTAAAATAAAAATTCATTTAAAAATAATCATTTTAACATCATTTACTGACAGCATCTACCAACAAAATGACACTTACCTGTGTGAATGATTTTGCCAAAGACGTTCTTGCCTTTCTTCCAGTCGCTGACCGGACAATTCCACCGGTGGTCTTTAAGTTGATTCTGACACTCGGCTATGGAGAGACGCATTGCTGAGGTAATGGCTTTTATCAAGCCAGGGTTCTCTCTTGCAATTCGACGTTGCTTCTTCCGTAGCTTTGGCAGAAGAATGTTGCCGCCGATCACTTTTTTTGTCGTCAGAACGGCATTGGCGTGACGGTCTTCAGTGTTCAGAAAGTGATGCTCAGAGGGATGAGCATGCTTTTGGTGTGACTGTGGCTGGTGACGTTGAGCTGGGTGCTGGCTGTTAATGCCTGATTCAAGTGCGCGTGGGTCCCTGCAAAAAAATTAAAATGATGTGAAAAAAAACGAATAATATTTAAAATTAGATATGCACAGATAAAGCTGCTCCTTAGATTGTTGCTGCTGTTTTGTGGGAAAGAGCTCGTTTTGTTATCGCCTAATTAAAACAACTCTTCTACTTTAGAGGCCCTTATCCTACTCTGCTCTCCTCTTCTCTCGCCCTCTCTTTTTCTCTTTATCCACTCACACCACTCAGCACTCTGTCAAGTAGACATTGACAAAAGTGACAACATGCATTTGAGAGTAATTGAGGCAAATCGAATGCGATTACTGATAACACACTAACACAACTGACTGCGCACTTTATAGAGAAAAATATTTAAGAAATGCAGATGAAGATGCTCCTTGGCGCCACTGGTAAAAAACTCACTCAAAGAAGAACAAGCAAAAATTTTTGGCAAGGGAGCAAGCGATATCACTGAATAAAACGTCACAATTCATCAGTCTCACAGCTCGTCACTGTTTAAATGGTTTTAATTCATACTACAAACTGGATTACCATCAATTGAATAAGTGTGTGTAACTTTGATGCCACTTTCCTTAAATTTGGCATTTATAAAAAATAATTTTATTTAATTCACTACTTCCAATTAGAGGTTCATAATTAGTTGAGAAGCATATCTGTCATNAGGGAAAGTTGGCTTCCCTGCGCAATGCATTTGTATAGCAAAAAGGTCATTTTTTCGGTACACATTTTTCAGCAACAAAACATTGGATTAAGATGCTGTAAAAAACACAATGTAGATGAGGATGTAATCTTTNGGTTTTAATTCATACTACAAACTGGATTACCATCAATTGAATAAGTGTGTGTGTAACTTTGATGCCACTTTCCNACTTCCAATTAGAGGTTCATAATTAGTTGAGAAGCATATCTGTCATCTCTTTCATCCTTTACATTTGCGTTTGAAACCAGGTTCATTGCAACCCAACTTACTAGCTCTAGTTGACAATTTACTCAAATGGGTAGTGTCAGCATGGCTAAACCGGCCATTTGCCAGATGCAGCACAAATGTACTAGAAAATAGTAGAAAAAGAAGACAAAGTTGCAAACAACAATTATTGTGCCTAGCACTCATTTCTTCGTTCTGGCAACATCTGTTCTGGCAAAGCAGTTTGCAGAAGAGGGAAACACAAAGTTAACACTTGTCGAGCGGAAGTTTGCTTTGGTGGTACTGCGTTGGCAGGCTCGTTACCTCGAAACGACCATGCGGCTGCTAATGGATATACGTCTAGCAATTATACATGCCCACTCAAAAAGCGGACACAGCACAACAATACTCAAACTGTGTTCCATTTTTTAGATGCGGATAGCAAATCTCTTTCGCTTCAAATTGACTTTGTAGCTGCACTAGCACTGAAAAGAAACATTGTAGTTCATGGTTGCAGTTTTTTATTTGAAACATTACACTGCGGTAAAAATAAAATTAGAGGTTGATCAAAACTCGACCATTGCTATCAACAGTAGACTTTTTTAACAAATCAGTCTGCATTTGTGTATCAATGTTGTGGCAACAGGTCTGCGATACACACCATATCGTCGATTGTGATAGACACATGTTCATCTACTAAACCTTCTGCTGCATCCTCTCTTTAGTTGATACACTACTTGTTTGCAGATGAAAAAAAAAGCCATTGCTGCCCTCAGCTTCGTACAACATCAGCATCATCATTTGTCTAGTGGTAACACTACTGAATAAATTAGCTATTACGTGCCGATGGCACCATCATCGGTGCATAATGAGTGGTGACATTAGCGGGGCAAAACAGTGATGACCACTAGTTTCTGGTGGATCAATAAGTCTAACTGAAATGCCTACCTGCCTCTTCAAAAGTGCTTCTTTCTTCTCCTCTCCTTTTGGCCGATAAGATAAAACCGTCATTTGGTGGCTGTTCTCGTTCTGAAGTCTTCTAAAATTTTGCGCTTCTCAGTTCGACAAGTGCACTCTGATGGAAGCAGTAGCATCAGCAGCCAGCCAGCCAGCCAGTGACTGTCTTATCAGCTCAAAACTGAAGAGCATTTAATTAGCTTTAATGTGACAAGAATTTGAACAACCTCCTCAGCAAAAGCATTGCAAATGGTCAAATATGGCATTGCTGTGATTGCTGTCTTGGTGGCATACTCTCTCCCCTCTCTTTAAACGATAAAGGTGACCGCAGATTGAGGTGTCAAAAGATGCAGGTCATATGCCCCAAAAAAAGAAGGGGAGAGAGAGTGAAGCAAAGTGGCCAAAACTTGTCAATCAGCACAACACAACATCTCACTTAGCCTTACTTTACTTCCATATTCTTTCCTTTTCAAAACTACATCATTTACTAATGACTTTGACGCTACTGATCACTATCAGACGTCCAAATTAAGTTGGTTCTTTAGAGCTACCACAACTTTCTTTATATATTTTTTTGTTTCGTTTCAATTGGAAAACTTGGAAGATGAAAAATGTGTTTGTGAGAGAGTGTGAATGTGGAAAGTAGATGTGCCTCAATTAACAGTGCATTGCCAATGAGAAAAAGAGAGTAGTTCACAAAAAGGTCAAAGGGCAAAGATGCGAATTAAGAAAAAAGGGAACCACCCTTTGGAGAAGAGTCCAAATTAGAAGTAGCTTATCTATTAGTTTCAATCAAACACGTCACTGAGCATCAGTGAACCGAGAGACACGGCCCAACTTTACTTTCACCAACCTGCTGCACGCTTATATTTTTCACTTGAAATTGGCTCTAATTTAAGCAATACGGGCTTTCAATTCAAAGAAGATTGAGATCTGATAAGAAGAAAGAGTCCGAGCACCCCTTGGAACAAGAGGCAGCAGAAGCAGCAACAGCAGGCTGCCACTGTCTGCCTGTCTGTCAGAGTGAATCACAAACTGCAGCGATTAAGTCAAATTAGTGGAATCTAAATCGAATCAGACAAGTCTGTGCAGCAGCCTCAGACAAAAGCTGCCACTGAATGACAGTTGGTGCCACTGTGATTGGTGTTGCCATTCTCCCTCCACTTAATTTGCAACGAATTTGTTTTCTTCAAAATTCTTTTCAATTAAGTCAGTCATCGTAATCGGTGCTGCCTGTTGCTACTGCTACTACATAGCCTCTTCCCTCTGTGCCCTCTTCCTCGACCGGTGTCGCGGCTGCCACTGGAAAGTGCGCAAATGCAAATGAGCCAACTTAGTAAGTGAGTGAGTATCATTAGTGACACTGTCACTGTCAACCAGTGAGGCCAAGTGTGGCCAAATGTGCCTAATAACAGGTTAGGTGTGAGAGTGAAGGGCAGTTGGCAGTGTGTTGGACCGAAGACCACGTCCACCTGACACTGACCAGAACAGGAACAGCTAGCCACTGAGTGGCCACTGAAGCGATCGCACTCAGCCTGACTCGTGCTCGTGCAAGCGAGAAGCGCTCACGTGCGTGTCATCCTCAGTGTCATCCTTAGTAGCTTCTTTAGCGTCTGCACGTGAGTCAAAGTGAGACAAATTGATTACTGAACGGCTGGTAGATACTACTGCTACGACTGTTGCTCAAGTTATCTGCGCTTCTCCCAACATCTGAACACCCTCATCACTGATCATCTGTCATTAGTACAAATGGTGGGATACATCTACAAATCTGAGGTACTAAAAGTGGGCCCTAAGTAGAACCTCGTCAAGCTCATCTTCAGCACAGATCGCATAGATGTGCTCACCACTGTCATTGCCAATTGCGCACTAATGGCGGCAGTAATTAGCCTTAATGATGATCAGAAGAGAAGAGAAAGATCACCTTCAACGAGGAACGCTTTAAGAAGTGTTCAAATATTGACTAGGCTTTAAAAAGAACTTACCACCACTTGGTGCCCTTTCCCCGCAGTGAATTGGTCTCCAGCATGTGCTGATGATTCACATCGTACTGCTGCTGCTGATGGTGGTGGTGGTCAGAGCTGCTAGGATGAGCCATCTTAACATTTCTTCCCCCGGTGGGAATTGACTTCTGCACAATATTGTGATGTGGCTTTGGCACACTGATGCTGGAGGCTATTGACGCGGTGGGCGCAATTGAGAAGGTCGAGTGATGCGGCAGCATCTGATGCTGGTACAGCAGCTGCTGATTGGGCGAAAAGGGCACTGAGAGGATGTGACTGCCCAGGTAGCTGTGGTACGCAGACTGCAGACTGGCCGCAGTGGGGGGCGGGGCAGGGCGACGGCTGGACACATAGCTGCCGTAGTTTGCTGATTCCGATGATGAGGGAATACTGGATTGCTGCAGGTAGTGTGGCCCCATGCCCGGCTGTTGACTGTTGCTAATACTGACTGCGGAAAATGGCTGCAGGGAAGACGGCGCATCGTGGTGACGCCAAGATTTGGATGCTTCACAGAGGGAGTTGCTTAGAGCAAGAAAGTAGAGGGTAAATAGGATGAAGAAGGTGTAATGATTGGAGGTGATGGTGATGGGCTTTTGTGACNGATTTGGATGCTTCACAGAGGGAGTTGCTTAGAGCAAGAAAGTAGAGGGTGAAAAGGATGAAGAAGGTGTAATGATTGGAGGTGATGGTGATGGGCTTTTGTGAATTTTGAGGTGCGACAAACCTGTGCCGCCTTAAGGTCGTTTTAGGTAAACTGCTGCTGCTGCTACTGCTACTTATACTGATGGACATTTGGCACGCTGTATCAGTGGTAGATGGTGACCAGATTAGGCACTGAAGAGGTGTGGTGGTGGTGGTGGTGTTGGCATTGTCTCTATATGAAGAACTGCCATGTCGATGGTGACAGTAATTATCATCAGCTTCATTGATTAAATGGCAATCTGAACTCAAGTGGTGGCACATTTCTTCAAGTTCGTCATTCACCGAAAAAGGTTGATCAGTAGTGATGCAGTCAACAAAAGAAAAATACAAGGTCGTCATTTTGCTGCTTTTCAAAAATATTGTTCTCTGGCCACAATGTACCAGAAACGACCAAATTAGTGGTCAAGTGAAAGCCATCAGTGATGTGAAGTTGAAAGGCT